AACAGTGTATTTTGAGGTCAATCAAGGAAGTTAATTGAAACTCCCCATTCACAACTAAAAAAATCTGCATTAGGAATAAATGATGCTTATTGAATGGGAATTTAATTAAGAAATTGATTAAATTTCAACATAATTGACCTCAACCCTGCGGAAAACACACAAAACACACATTTCCCTCTGGGTGTGTGACTGTGAAATGTAAGGATGTTCACTGGAGAGGGTCTGCTCTGTTCAAGTCTGAAGGATTACTGTGGTTGGCCCTTGTTGGATTTCATGGTGGCTTAGGCAGCAAAAATAGCGTGGCGCTGTTGTTTAGCCAGTCCTCCACACACTGCTGTGTGCCTCAACCTCTTTAGCGTGCCGTGGTCCCCTCCCCTCCTCTGCCCTCTTTCTAAATCGCAACACATCACATTATGCCGTAATAGGCCTACTGGGCTACCACACCAAAAGCCAGCAACATCCTCAGCCTCATCAACTGGATTATAGCTGCTCCATATCCCACCGTCAATCGTGACCCATTCCCAGCACTTGTGTGGTGAGAAACCTTGCCTAAGACCTGAAGGCTTTAGCTCGAAGGGCTAACACAGTCTTGTGGCGAACAGGAGACCTGGGTTTGAATCCAGTCGGATACATTGGCGCCAAGCCTCTGCGGGGAGGAGTTGGTCATGGGGGGAGGAGTGTAATGGTGGCGGTTCGGTGAACCATACTCACATGATAAGTAACCTTCCCTAAAACCAGAAAACGACCCAGGCTTTATCTCAGCCAGCTAACACAGTCGTCAGATCCAGTCAGTCACTTGTGGTCTAGTCTAATGTTGTCAATGTGTTTCTCAGAGCCATAGCAGATGGTTACAAGCTTCATATCAAACAACAACCATAGCGATACAGTATAGCTATAACTATAGGGGTGCATCTCTGTGATAGTAACATGTATGTTTTGTTCCACAGGTATACAGTGAATACAGAGCCAGCTTGGCCTTCGATCTCGTCAGCAGTCGGCAGAAAAACGTACATAGTAGCATCTCTCGAACACAGTGATTAGGCATCCAGTTCCATTATCCCTACTGTTTTAATCAATGGGTTTTGTACACTGGTGTAATTTTGATGTGTAATTGAGGCTTTTTTGTCAATGGGCAGGCCTGCACAGACTACAGTGACTCTGTAGCCAGAAGAATGGGCTTCATTCCTCTTCCTCTTGCAGTCCTGGTAAGATCAGCTTTGTACAACAGTCCAATGCAGTGTTTCCCCTACCGTTGTATGTAGATACAGTGTGCAACTCGGCACTAATTATATGCTTTGTTTTATTGGTATCAATCAAGGAACAGTTCCGTCTTGTATGAAATAGTTTATTTGTTTCAGGACAATGTAGTTGACTTAGAACTCCATTTTGTGGCATTGACTTGAGGACTGATAAACTGTTACTACTTCCTTACCACTGTCACATGCAACAATGTTTCTGCTGAAGGTTTTCTTTTCTATTGTAATTGACAGCTAATCCGAGTGGTGATGAGTTCAGTGAATGTACAGGGAGCCCTGTCCTACTCCTGTGTGTTCCTCTTCTACTTGGGGTAAGACTCCAATCAAGTTCTTATTCTTTGTCATGTATGATGATTTGCATTTACATAGCACCTCTTCCACCACCTAAATGTATTCACTTTACACGTTTCATAGACAAACTCGCTCTGTCAGTCATGCAATACAGGTAGAATTAATTGTTAGCATAGCAGTCCCACTATATTCGATATGTATTTTCTATGTGGATGTTTGTGCCAGTCTGATCCCATTTGAGGTACGTTAGCATGAGCCTTCTGCTTGGCTTTGATAGGGCTTAGGCTTTTATTTTTCTCACCATTTTGATTCTGTAATCGAACCCACAGTTGCTGATGCTCCAGATACTCAACTAGTCTCAAGAAGGCCAGTTTTATTGCTTCTTTAATCAGCACAACAGTTTTCAGCTGTGCTAACATAATTGCAAAAGGGTTTTCTAATGATCAATTAGCCTTTTTTAAATGATAAACTTGGATTAGCAAACACAACGTGCAATTGGAACACAGGACTGATGGTTGCTGATAATGTAGCCTATTTAGATATTCCATTAAAAATCAAACATTTTCAGCTACAATAGCCATTTACAACATTAACAATGTCTACATTGTATTTCTGATCTATTTTATTTTAATTTAATGGACAAAAAAATAGCTTTTCTTTCGAAAACAATAACATTTCTAAGTGACCCCAAACCTTTGAACGGTAGTGTATATAATAAAATCTAGACCTGTCCACAATGAAAGAACACTCAATTACTACAGTATGCTGCTCTTGTGGGCAAATAACAAATAGTCCCCTTCACCTTGGATATCATTACTAATCCTCTTTTCCCTGTGTAGAATGGTGAATATCATTACTAATCCTCTTTTCCCTGTGTAGAATGGTGAATATCATTACTAATCGTCTTTTCCCTGTGTAGAATGGTGAATATCATTACTAATCGTCTTTTCCCTGTGTAGAATGGTGAATATCATTACTAATCGTCTTTTCCCTGTGTAGAATGGTGAATATCATTACTAATCCTCTTTTCCCTGTGTAGAATGGTGAATATCATTACTAATCCTCTTTTCCCTGTGTAGAATGGTGAATATCATTACTAATCGTCTTTTCCCTGTGTAGAATGGTGACCCTGAAGGTGCTGAACAGTATCGTGCTACTGGGGAAGTCGTGTGTGTACGTGAAGAGAGCCAACATGGAGGACAAACTGTTTGAGAGGCCCTCCACAGCCGCCCCCGGGAAGACGTCCAGTAGAACCAGGAAAACATCCAGATGTACTGCCCCCTCAGGTACCCAGCGACAGACAATACCCTAGTATTACCCAGCGACAGACAATACCCTAGTATTACCCAGCTACAGACAATACCCTAGTATTACCCAGCGACAGACAATACCCTAGTATTACCCAGCTACAGACAATACCCTAGTATTACCCAGCGACAGACAATACCCTAGTATTACCCAGCGACAGACAATACCCTAGTATTACCCAGCGACAGACAATACCCTAGTATTACCCAGCGACAGACAATACCCTAGTATTACCCAGCGACAGACAATACCCTAGTATTACCCAGCGACAGACAATACCGTAGTATTACCCAGTGTATTATTTACCTTTATTTTACCAGGGAGGGAACACCTTTTCATTTACAATAATGACCTGGGAACAGGTACAAACCTTGCATGAGACCATGAAGACTTCCTGAGCTAATGCCTAGGGTAACACAAAATTATGGCATGCAGGAGGCCCAGCTTCGAACACAGTCAATCACATATAGCCTACCCAGCCTCAATAAGACACTTGGTTACATTAAATTACTCATTCTTCTTAGCAATCCCAGCTTGCCAAACCCAGCCTCAAGCAAGCAGATGCGTATTCCGACTTGGGTAATTGAACTCCCGAAATGTGTTGATCTTCAGCGTGGCAGACGAGCCTGCTGCGCTTAGCTGAGAGCATTAGAGCGAGGGGGCGCCACGTCACTTCAGAGCTCTTTATCACTCCTGTGTTTTTACAGAACCGCCATTTTCAGAGAAAATATTCAGTAGTACAGTATGTGACATGTTAAAGCACCAAACCATATCATGTGGGATCAGAAGGTCACTGAAGCCTGAACGCTTCCGCTGCTATTCTTAATTAGCCCATCTGTAACTACTGTACCCAACCCGGCTGTCTCTTCTGGGCTGCATTCATAAGGGCACACCGTAGCAAAACGTTTTGGGTTGGAAAACGAAAACGGGCGTATCTTATTGGATGAGTTCAGGTAGTCCCTCCTAGTATTGCACAGTGTACCGGTACCACTGTATATCACGGTACCAAAACGACATTATACTTATGATACCAACATTCTAGAATACCCTAGTACCGTCTCATATGATGCTACCGATCTAAAGAACCAACTGCCGTCTGTTATACAATGTTTATAAAGTCTGTTTTGTTAATACATTTAGTAAAAAACATTAAGCAATAGCAACTAGTTTCTTGTATGCACCAGTCCAATAACCTCCACTTCACTTTCATGCGCATCTCATGTGGCAGCTGTGATCAGCCAGCCGCATCCCCTACCAGCCCTCACTCACCTGCTTCTCGCTGTCCAACCTACCAGCCCTCACTCACCTGCTTCTCTCTGTCCAACCTACCAGCCCTCACTCACCTGCTTCTCTCTGTCCACCCTACCAGCCCTCACTCACCTGCTTCTCTCTGTCCACCCTACCAGCCCTCACTCACCTGCTTCTCTCTGTCCACCCTACCAGCCCTCACTCACCTGCTTCTCTCCTTCTGCTCTTCCTACACATCTATTCCTCCATCAGTTTTTAAAATATAATTTGGCCGTGATGGAGAGCAGGGATGCAGACCCTGATGAATCTTCTGTTGTTAGATTTGTACATTTGTTACATTGGAGCAGCATCAGAGCGAGCAATGTTGATACGTTGTATAATTTCATCGCCTGGTATAACCTAGCGCACAGGCCAGTCTGAGTAGGCTTTGCAATTGCGAGTTGCGAGTGCCAGATAGGAAAATGGACAGGCATGTTTACAGATTTGCAGCAAAAACAATGGCGTGTCTCTAGCCCAAACGGTTAAAAATATGACCCATTTTACCAGAGCTACCTTCTGTTCTTCCTGAGAGATTTGGCGCGTTTTAGATAATTTCACAAACCATGTCACAGGCCATTCTTAAACTAATCCCGGGTTGCTAATTGTTGGTTTGATATTAACAAACTGTTACCTAGCTAGCAAACAACCTGTCAACTTGAAAGTCTAGACACGTGATTGGCCCAGGAAGAAAGGAAAAGGGTGTGCTGCTCATGAGATGTGCTTCAGAAGGTAGGATTCATATAGGCCTAATGGAAGAGTAAACTGTATCAAAAATCCATCTCTTTCTGGTGCTCCTTAAATTCTGTTTGTTGCCTAACGTTTTTAAAGTGGGGAGCAGTGTGTGTATGTGTTTGTGGGAGAGAGGGAGAGGGAGAGGGAGGGAGGGTGTGTCTGTTAACTGAAGAGGAAAGGTTTCATGCATTGTTTCCTCCTACTGCCACAATGACATGCAGATCATTTTGCATGTACAGTATATTCCTTCCTCCCATTCCTCCAGCCAAATCACAGGTAGGCTTTTGCAAATATGAGCAATCAGCCATTCTATGCAGTATTCTATTATACACTGAACAGTGTGAGTTAAGTTCATTCAAAATGTGTTGTATTGAGTAGAAATGTGAATATCAGTGACAGATTTCTGGCGTAGCACATGCGAATAACATTTAGAAAACGGGAACAAGCGTCCGGGGGACAGGGGCGAACAGGATGCTAGGTCACTCTGAATTTCCCCCCAATTGTACTACTCGGTATTGTAATACTTGGCCTGGTATCGTATCATTAGTAAAATGTTAGTATCGTGACAACACTAGTCCCTCCCCATTTTAGTCAGTTTCATTCCGTTTGGTCCCTAATGAACACCTTCCTGGAGAAATTGGTTAGTTTTAGCCCACAGGTTCCAATGGATACCTTACTAACAGACTGGTTTGTCTCTCATTCTTCATAACCATTTGGATGGAGATCTAATTGGAGGTGCCATGTCTATAGGTCTCTGTCTGAAGCAGAGAATATACTGATGAGCAACTGTGGTTTCCCTCAGGCTGTGTCATGGAAGCTTATGGCGAAAGCATATGGCTAGTTCAGGAAAAAATGGATAAAGACCTCAAATAGTTGTTGGTTATACCACTGGTTCAGTACCACATTGCATTTTCTAAAGTAGGTCTGCTGTATCCCCTTGTTATTGCCTTTTAAAGGAGCATCCATTTATTTCATGCAGTCTGGTGAATACACACACGATTGCTGCTCGCCTGGTAAAGTCTCTCATTTGCAACCCACTTTTGTATATGGAAGTGAGGCATGTCAGTGCCCTGGGCAAATGGCTGTCTCTGTAGAGTAGCAACCCATGTGCTGATATGCTGCTGCTGCTGCTGCTTCACTCAACTATTTGAATATATCAGAGGTCATGAATAATTCTGTTTGGCCGACCTAACTTGTGTACGCCATTTACACTGCATACTGGTATTTAAGACCAGGATCAGTGGAGCTTGTGAAGTCTACTGGTATTAATGTAGATTTGTCTCTTTGACCCAACGATATACAGTAGGAGAGTTGTTATTCCTATAAATGAATTTGGTTGGTTGTCCAGTTTATTTTGTCACTCTGAAGTCAAATCTAATCAAAAACGAAGTTTGCGATGTTCTTGCTTACTATCTATAAGTGTGAGTGTTACTTACCGTTAGTGTTACTAACTTTTCTCCAAGCCTCAAATGACCAAGTATTGTTAATGTTTGTGTTTAAATCTACCTCTCTCTCTCTCTCTCTCTCTCTCTCTCTCTCTCTCTCTCTCTCTCTCTCTCTCTCTCTCTCTGTCTCATCAGGTGATCCATCAGGTGATCCGTGGTCCGAGCGGTCCCCATCCACTCCTTCCTGCACCTCCGTCCCCCCCTCCTCCTCTGTCACCGCCCAGCCTACCCCCACTGCCAGCCCCACCCTGCGGCCAGAGACTGTACCCCCTCCCCCCTCCACTTCCACCACCCCAGCCAGCCCTCCCAGCCCCTCCACCAGCCCAGAGCCAGACCCGGACCCTGACCCCCTGACCCCCTCACCCCCTGACCCCCTGACCCCCCCTGAGCAGAAAGAGGAGGAAAGGATGGAAGGCACAGAGCTCAAGCACAGGACCCCTAAAAAGGACCTGCTGGATGTCGACCGCTTCACGATATGCGGGAACCGTATCGATTGACCCCCTCCCGAGCCAGGAAGTGATAATCACTCAGGAGAGGCGGTGAGCCAGACGCACGTCAGCACTTCGGCTCTCTTAGCCAAAGCCAGCGGAAGCAACATGTATTTATTGAGCTAGACATACAGTAAGTTATTGAGATACAGTAAGCTTTTGTGGACTCTGGGACTGGCTGTTTAATGTAAGTCGACCTGTTGTTTTTTTGGGGCTCGACAAAGAGAACTATGTTGGTTGGGCGACGGAAGAATGCGAGAGGTATTGTTGTTTCCATGACAACCCAGTGTGCGCCTGTCTGTACATGAAGTGTGCGAGCGAGCGTGTGTGTGCATGGACACGAACGTGGAACATGAGAAATGGGGTCTCTTCTCAGATAAGCATCCAGCAAAAACGAACTGCAAATGGGGTTTCTGGATCATTATGGTTTACAGGAAAACAATACCATGTTAAAATGATTATCTGTCAATGTTATACCGTTTATATGGACATATTAGATCAAAATGACTGAAAAGGATAAACTATTTGCTTATCAAAAAGCTTTACCCGATTTAATTAGAAATTAGTGGTATGAAATATCACGTTTGGTACGAGCTCCATTTGGTAGTGTGAAGAACATCTCCACATAAGTGACTATTTTTAGAGAGCTTTCTTTTACAGGTGTTTTAATATCATTCAGTTTGATTTAAAAGAGCCAAGGGTACCCTTCATTTGATGGTTCTATGTTCGCCATTACCACAATTATTGCTCATAATACATATTTGTTTTGTGGAAAGTTCATAACAGCATTTTATGATGACAATAATCCTTATTTTGCTGTATTCTGGGTTGTCAAACCTTTGGGGATTTTTGTTATGAATGTTTGCACTGATGTACCGTATTGTCTTAAATATGCTACATATGACAGGTTTTCTAGCTATTTCTCTTCATTTCATGCTCATGCAATGTTTTAATGTTTACTTCCCCAGCATTTCAGAAGCAATATATCCAAAACATAGTGCATATATTTTTGCTCTTGCTTTTTTAATGATGTTATTTTACCATGCCTTGAGTGAAGTTGTTTGCTTTGATTTGGCCTTTGTATTTTATTGCTAGAGTTAATTATAAGATCACATTATTTTTGCTATACCAATGACCAAAATGTATATTAGACCGGCATGATTCTGATTTGGTACCCATCTATTAGAATGTAATAAGTGAAACAATGTTTTATTTAGTTACCATATTGTATCATTTTATACTATATTTAAACACCTGGCCATAATTTTAGAGTAGAAATCAATAAATGATGCAACGTGACATAGCACGTCATTGGTCTTGCTGTTTAGGGTCTTTAGGCAACACTTTACATGGTGTACAGTATGTTAGCATATGTTAGCACAAGCAGTTACCACTGCTGTCTGTTTTCCAAGTAAAGACACAAAGGTGAGTGCTTACTGTAAGTGGTACGTACCAGGGTTGGGGTCAATTCCGTTTTCAATTCAGTTTGTTCATGATCTGGATTGACTGAATTGAAAACATAATTGACCCCAACCCTGGTAAGTATTGCACAACTGTTACAGGATATTCATGACGGCTATGTTTCCACTGGTACAATAGGTACTCTGGTATAAGCACTATGTAATGTAAATGGCTGCCATTTTTTTCTCGCTGTTATGAAAATATGTAAAGTGTAACATACTCACGCATATCAGCATTGATCAGATTTTGTTTGAAAAAATTGCTGTTTTTAATGTTCATTACCATTGTAATAAGGAATATCTTTCTATTTTTGGAGCTGCCAGATCAAATCAAACAATTTTATTTGTCACGTGCTGAATACAACAGCTGTAGACTTTGATTAGTATTTTGCGCATAGAACTTCCACAGAACCATCTCCATGGGGTTTTGTACTGTTCTGATGCAATGATTATAAAAACTGTTCACTTAATCTCATCTGTTTGGTTCATAAGAACTTCACCATGATATAAAATGGCCCTCTTTTTGGGGTGATGATGAATAAAAGTTATTTTGTACTTCTGTTGTCATTGTCCAACATGTACAGTTTGATGGGGGATTCTCTCTCTCTCTCTCTTGTCTCATCACGTGATCCATCAGATTATTCCTGGCCTGAGTTGAGCCCCTCCACTCCTTCCTGCTCCTCCATACTACCTTCTCTACCGTTACCAGGAAGCCTACACCTATACCCACCCCCTCCATTTGTAAAAAATATTTGTACCATTGATTAATGAATATGGAGTGGGGGAGCCCCTGTAGAGGTTTATAGTTGAGGTAAGCTGACTGTCACGCTCACACCAGTAATGACCTTACCTCCTACAGAAGTAGAGGGCGCTGACTCAGACGGGTAGTGTAAATCCACTCCCAGCCAAGCATGTCTGAGAGGGCTAAGCGTCTTACCTTGAAGGCTGAGCCGGCCCATGCTCTCTCTTTCAGGCTTGAGGGAAGCAGTCTTCTGGTGGTAGTGGTCTGGCTGGAGCAGGACCAGTGATGACAAGGTATACGTATAATCTCGCTACAGCAACCATAGTCCTAGACCAGGGGTCATCAACTAGATTCAGCCACGGGACAATTTTGTCTTGAGCGGATGGTCAGGGACCAGAACTTAATTACAAATAATTTGTAGACCGCAATAAGCCCGAACATATATTTGACTAAAACAAACCTTACTTACATTTGTATACGATCACATCTCTCTGTTATGCATGGTAATACTTTGGAACACATTTCCAAAATTAAAAACACTTGTAGCTGATTTGCTGCTGTTTTTACAGTCTTATGTCCAACAATAAAAAATCAAATGAACTTGGGGTGCCAAATAGCTGCCAGTTGGAGAGCCGGTCTGTCCTAGAGTGTTGCAGTGCAAGACTAGTGGACTCAGCTGAGGTTAGGCTAATGTTCATCATATGAAAACAACTGCACACAACGATTACGGATGACAATCTATTTTAGTCCCGATAAAGACACATTTGTCTTTAGTGTCACAAGAAGCAGTCTTCTAGTTGACCTTTGTATTGTAATGGGCCCTTAAGGCCACTGGTTTAGCAGGGCTTTGGTACAACATTGAAAGAAGGCTAGTTTATTTTCCACAACCATGTTGTCTGTCACACTTATTCTGGCTATTATTTTTGACAATGGACTGTTGAAATGTGTGTTTACATAATATAAGGCAAAATCTGCAGGAAACAGTCATATTAGTGGTGGTGAAGAATGAAAATATATACTGAACAAAAATATCAAACGCAACATGTAAAGTGTTGGTCCCATGTTTCATGAGCTGAAATAAAAGATCCCAGAAATGTTCCATACACACAAAAAGCGTATTTTTCTCAAAGTTACAAACGCAGACCACATGTAACCACACCAGCCCAGGACCTCCACATCCAGCTTCTTCACCTGCGGGACTGTCTGAGACCAGCCACCCGGACAACTGATGAAACTGTGGGTTTGCACAACTGAAGAATTTCTGCACAAAATGTCAGAAACCGTTCCAGGGAAACTCATCAGCGTGCTCGTCATCCTCAGCAGGTTCTTGACCTCACTGCAGTTCGGGGGTCATAACCGACTTCAGAGGGCAAATGCTCACCTTCGATGGCCACTGGCACGCTGGAGAAGTGTGCTCTTCAAGGATGAATCCCAGTTTCAACTGTACCTGGCAAATGGCAGACAGCGTGTATGGTGTCGTGTGGGAGAGCGGTTTGCTGATGTCAACATTGTGAACAGAGTGCTCCATGGTGGCGGTGGGGTTATGATATGGGCAGGCATAAGCTACGGACAACGAACACAATTGCATTTTATTTATGGCAATTTGAATGCACAGAGATATTGTGACGAGATCCTGAGGCCCATTGTCGATGCCGCTGCCATCACCTCATGTTTCAGCATGATAATGCACGGCCCCATGTTGCAAGGATCTGGAAGCTGAAAAAATTCCACGGCCTGCATACTCACCAGACATGTCACCCATTGAGCACGTTTGGGATGCTCTGGATCGACGTGTACGACAGCATGTTCCAGTTCCTGCCAATATCCAGAAACTTTGCACAGCCATTGAAGAGGAGTGGGACAACATTCCACAGGCCACAATCAACAGCCTGATCAACTCTATGCGAAGGAGATGTGTCGCCCTGCATGAGGCAAATGGTGGTCACACCGGATACTGATTGGTTGTCTGATCCAGGCCCCTACCTTTTAAAAAAAGGTATCTGTGACCAACAGATGCATATCTTTATTCCCAGTCATGGGAAATCCATAGATTAGGGCCTAATGACTTTATTTAAATTGACTGATTTCCTTATATGAACTGTGACTCAGTAAAATCTTTGAAATTGTTGCATGTTGCGTTTATATTTTTGTTCAGTGTAAAATATTGTCTAAACAACATGAAAGGATGAGTGTACATTTATCTGCCAAAGGCTGCACTGTTTCTCATTCCAGTGGACCAGTGGGAGTCTTCTGGCAGGAATTCCCTCCAACAGCTTGACATTGGCTGCTGTACATAACCAATCCCACTTTATGAACATGGCATTTTGGGCATTTCCTACATTTTGTTAATCTACATATCAAATGCAGCAGAGCACTGACAAAATCTCCACATTTACCTGATGTGAAGCAAAAACATTGTGACTGTAGTTACTCAACATTGACCCCCTGTATTTGCCAACTCAGGGACCACATTTCAAATAGAACACATACTCCTATTCAAAGGATTTTTCCATTCACCTGATCTGGTTTGCTTCTCTCAGTGCGGATCTAATGAGTGTTGTGAATGCGCTGAAGTAAGGAGTCCTGTAGCCCTGATCAAAGCCCTGCCCACAGGGAGCCTGTCCAGATGGGCCCTGCCCTTCCGCTGTCTGGGACATCAACAAGGACCGTATTGTGCATGGGGACGCTGGGTGTGAGCGTACCTGGGCTCTGCTCCACCAATCACAGTGCTTCTAGATCTGTGGGCTGTGGTCTCAAAGTGTATTGTGTCTACCCTCTAGGGATGGGGAGGTGGGGGCAGGGTCAGA